CAACATACAGACACACATCGAGTTGTAAATTGCTCCCTGGAAAGGTGAAGTAACTTACCCCTCCTCCAGGGCAAGAGGGCGGGAGGGGAAAACCGGTTGTGAATAAGTGACTCAAAGAGGGCTCTCTGCGTCACAGTGCGTCCTGGGGCTATGCCTGGGGTTGTGCAGTTTACGTACCACTCCTGTTAGGGGCTATGTCTGGAATTACAATCTAGCCCTACTGGTCCAGCAGAGTATCTTTCTTTTTTAAAGAGCCTGCAGGTATAACGGCAAATTCTAAATTTTTCCAAGAGTTTTTTTTTTTAGGAATTCTGTTTTTAAAAGCTTTATCATTGCTTAAACCCTAGAATCATAAAAGCAGTGTTCCAGGGAAAATAGTAGTGATGACAGCAATTCATTATGCCTCCTAACAGAAATCAGATTTGCTTTTTAATGGAGCTTTTATCTTCTTTCAAAGGAATTCAAAAGTGAAGTGTTGCCCTCTAGAGGAATAGATTTTTTTTTTTTTTTTGCGGAGCAGATAGCTACACCAAAATCAGTCTTAGGCATTGTTCCCCATAATTCCCTTCTTTCTTTGGTAATTTTGTACTTTTCATAGTAATGAGAACTTCAGCGTTCTCCTAAATGTTTTCTTTCCTTTCAAAAAGTGGAATAAGGAATACTTTATTTCTCAAGTGTTTCAGATAGCTTTAAAGAGCTTCCAGAACAGTTTTAAATTAGTTATCAGTTGCATTGAAACTTCTGAGGAGGACTCTTCAGAATCAGCAAATGGGATTTTTTTTTTTGAGGTAAGTTCTTACTTCTGCATATAATTCAGACAGGTTTGGAGCAACCAGAACACAAGCTCTGTTCAGATACACCAAGGAGAGGTATCCAACACAATAATGTTTGTGTTCAGGGAGTGTTCAAACAGAATTAGGGTCCCAGAATCTAAAGGAAAAATAACTATCCATCACTACTATTGTTTGTAATCAACAGTCCTCAGTAGGGCTAGGTGGAAGCATTACTAAAGAAGGGAGTAAAGCTATATAATGCTTTCACAAGATATTATATAAAACATAGTTCTTGAAGGGCTTTCATACTATCTGATTTCCACTTTTAAGAGACAACATCACTGGTTAGTTTTTGAGAGTTGTCTAGTGAATGTTGCTGCTGTGACTGAGCTTGTCTCGAACAATGTTCTTCTAGATGAGAATTGGGGCTTAGTTGCTCTGTCATTCTCTTGGCCTGAGGAACTTTCCCTGGTCCCAGTTGTACTTGGATGCATGAAGTGCAGGGCTTCTGCAACGCACTGAAAGAGAGGTTATGCAGGAGAAGAGATGCTGTTCAGTCTTAGGCCTGATCTTGTCATCACTGTATACAATTTTAAGTTGCTACACAGTGGGGAAGGAGAAGAAACTTAATGCTGTGATAGCAAAACCAATTAAATTGCACCCATAAAAGACTGCAAAATTATGTTCTTAGGAAAGGGAAGGAATTAAATCTTGTCCAAAATCATATTTTGTGAGGGGAATTCACTGTGAGAACCATCCAGGAGGGAAATAAAAGCACTGGCATGGAGTACTCTAACTGCTGCCATTTTCCTTTGTTTGGAGATAGGTAGTTCTAAGAAACAGTTGGTGCACAATCTTGGTGCAAGTCTGCTCTTATTGCTACCTAGTCCCCTGGCATATATGGCTACCAGACATGCTTTTGAAAAAGAATTACATTTTCTGACTGATGAACTATAGATTTCTAATAAAAGTTTAAAGATAAGTTTTACAAGACAAACCTCAGTCTCTCTTTGCCTAGTGACCATTTTGGATTTTATCTGTGTTACAGATGTGCATAGATTAGTTTATAGAAAGAAAATTCAATATCCAAATGATCAATATTATTTAATCTAGTTAAAATGCATTTTATCACCAACACTGGAAATGAATTGCTGGCTAGGTAAGTGGTATAGGGTGGAGGGCTTTGGTTTTATGGAACTTGTCCATCTTCTATAGGGAGAGGGGGCTGTACAAGTTGGGCGGCCTCCACTTCAATAGGAGGGGAACCAAACTCCTTGGAAACAGGCTAGAGTAGTTAGGAGGGGGTTAAACTAATAGCAAAAGGGAAGGGTAGAAAGAGGGATGATATGAGCACTCAGCACAAAATCGAGATTTTGAGAACAAAATTAATCAAGAAACCAAAGGACATGAAGAGAAGAATTTCTTGAATTGCCTATACACTAATGCTAGGAGCCTGGCTAACAAACAAGAGGAACTGGGATTGCTTGTTTATGAGCATAAATTCAACTTAGTTGATATTTTTGAAACCTGGTGGGATGAACTGCACAACTGGAATGTTAAACTGACAGGTCTCAAAATGTAACTGTAAATGAGGAGTCATCACTGAGCAGGCCTGTTTCCAGTGGGGTCCCACAGGGATCGGTTCTTGACCCTGCAGTATTTAATATTTTGATCAATGCACTGGAAGAAAATATAAAATCATTGTTGATAAAGTCTGGCTGTGACAAAGATTTAAAAAAATGATTGTATCTCCTGTTTAAAACTATAATTGTATTTTTATAAGTTTAATGCTACTAATAAAAGGACAACAATATATCCAAAACATATTGAGTGTCTAATTTCAAAAGGATCAGCAACTTTATCAATATTCCCCACCCTTTTTTTTAAGACTTGGGAAAGGATGACATTTAAAATTGCCTTTTTTTTTTGTTAGTGTGGGTGTGTAGGGCTGTCTGTTAGTTTTTTAACAGTTCTCCTTTTTAGAATTTAAAAATGATACACATGACATGCAACCTAGCTTGTGAACAAGTATTTGATAAGCAGACAGTTCTGAGTACACTTCTAATTTCACACTTGTCTAGCCAGAGGGGTCAGAAGGTCTCATAAGTTTAAGTTATTTTTGATGTTCCCTTTGTTACATTGTGAGCTTTTCCCAGAGGGAGTGGAAAAGTTGTCTTTGTTCAGAATTCATGTTCGCACAGCCTTGACTCTGCATTAGAATGTGCATGGAAGATACTTTTTTCATTCATTCTCTACATTGGCTTTATACTTATAAAATTGTAGTGTATGATGTCCCTCAACATACTTTATCTTTGGTTAGTAGTTTTGGTACTATATATACTTAAGTCTAATTCACATACTTCAGCATATTTAATTTTTAATTTTTTTTAACTATCTTGTTAATTAATCTTTGCTTTCTAAGACGTTTTATAGCTGTCAAAACTTTAATGTGTAGTAACCAGAAGTACTGTATCTTTTCCTTCTCTTTCATAAAGAAGTTTTGAAATGATTACTTTGCCTTTTTGATTCTATTTAATTTAATTGTAAGTAATTATTATTAATAAAGGATGAGCTACATTGGATTGCTGTTCATTTAGAAATGAATGTACATGAAAGCAAGAGTAATATACAAGTTTTCTCCTTTATTTGATAATATTTTTAGTAATATTTAATTTGAACTGTTTCTTAAATAATGCTACTATTAAGGTTTATTGCTAATGAACTTTTTATCATTTTGTTATGATTCACTTACGATGTGCAGGGAAGTCTCCACATATTGTCTTATAAAAATTGGTATTGAGACAAAGTTTTCAATATCTGTATTCCACAAAATCTCTCATTTTAAATAACTCTACCAAATAATGTGACCTATCAAATTTTGTTCCTTAATTCCTTAAGTAACAGAAGAGAAAACAAATGCCAGATGACACTTGCATATACCAGACATTTTACTGTTCATTGCCAAGTGTACAGTTCACTGTTCGGTCACCTGTGTTTGTCAGTTTAGCACATTTAAAGCAGTTCTCAGCTCCCTCTTTGTTCTCTAAAGCATACTTTCAGGCTTCAGACATTGCCTGGCTCATTATTCTCTGAGGAAGGTTAAGGCCTTTACGGTCAGACCGGAACTACTCACTAATTAGAGCCCTTGCTTTGGCACTGAATGTGTCATGCCTGCAAGCCTTCCTACTGGGATCAATGGCATTCATGTTCACTTTAATAAATGTACAATAGTCACAAATCTCAGTGGAGAACTCCGTACTTAGTTTGCACTAAGAAACACATTCAAGCCTTTACAGAATGCAGACACTACCATAATGGGCACAAAATAGAGCTATTGGAATAGACATTGATCAGTCCACTCACTGCATAAAATGGTGGTTTGCTATCTTCTGCAGGATGCAGTCTAGTGCTTAGAGGCCTTAGTGTGTCTCTTCTTGTATCTTTAAAATAAGTGTAGACAAACTTAGGGACATAAGTTTTATGTGCTGGAAATGTTTCTACACTTGAACAAAATTCAGTGTTCTTTTCTTTTTTAAGCACTCGAGAGAATATAATACTATATCAAATTAACTGATTTACATAAAGTAAATGCCCTTATGTTACTGATGTGAAGTAACAGGTGGTGTTCAGGATAAATATCAGATAATGTCATTAATAGGTAATTGTTAGTGGCAAGGTAAATGTTTTATTTCCTATTTGTCGCCTTCTCCATAGGCTGTGCTAGTTTTAGTTGGTCCCACACGGGACTCAGCCTAGGGTCGGGGCATGCCCCGGCCCCCATGCTTTAAGCCCTGCGATGATTGTAAGTGGCCTATGGCCATCAGCAACCTGCACAGTAGCTGCTTGAGGTGTCTCAGCGAAGGACACATAAGTGACAAGTGCAGAATCTGTAAATCCTTCAAACCCTGAACAAAAAGGAGAGAGATCTCCATCTCAGGGTGCTCCTAATGAAATCGGCGCTGGGACTGGAGAAGAGGTCTGACCTGGCCCCGAGCACCGTAGCATCGGTGCGGAGCACCCTGCCGGTGCCATCTTCAAGCCAGCACTGATTCCCCTTCCCCAGCTCTGGACAAGAAGCCTAAGAGGACTGCAAGTGGAAGATCTCCCACTTCCCATAAGGGAAAGGAGAGGACCAGAGGAGAGCAAAGACCAGTGCTGGGCGGCTCATCACCTCAGTCATGGAGTAGGGCCCCAGCTCAAGTCGAGCGGTCTAGCCCATCCCGTAATATGCCTGCTACGCTGGACAGTGAAGAGGGCCTAGGTCAACTGGAGGTCCCTTCGACACCTGAGGCCCTGCAGGTAGTGCAGGAGATCCTGACGCTATCAGTGCCACCCACACCAGCTATGGTGGTACCACGGCCCGGGGTAAACCTGCCTGGGGACTGTTCCGCGTGTCCCCACCTCAGCGGCACTGCTCCCCATTGCAGGGGACGTCCCACCAGCACTCGCCCGCACAGAACCGTCATGCCTCTGAAGTTGGGAGGCAGGCTCAGTGAAGCCCTCTTTGGTTTCTGGACCCTGGGCACTGACAGCAGGGCTCGAGGCGCAGCTCACCAGTAACATGGCATAGACCTGCAGAAGCACACACCCTGCGTCAAGAGCATCGAAACCGACCCTTCATGTCTCCAAGGCCTTGGCACCAATCACATGACTCATTGTTGGGGTGGAGACACCAGTCATCGACCCGCCGTTACCTGTTGCCAAGACACGGATCCTCGTGGTCGGGGAGATCCTCCCGGTGTCCAGCCCGCTCCAGCTCCCGGTTATGCTCTGGATCCCAGTACCAGTTGAGCAATGTGAGGCATAGATCGCTGGATTACCAATGGCAATCCGTTGAACGCCGACAGTCCCCGAGGTCCTGTGCAAGAGATTTGTCTTGATCGGACAGGCCTATTTCGAGACATAGCAATCAGCACTGCACAGAGAGGAGCCACTGGTCCACCCGATCAAGGTTGCCTAACAGCGGCCACTCCGCTTCCGGGTCAGGCACTGAGCAGGAGTCCTTGACAGCGGGTCAAGCCCTGGCACCAGTGGTACCATCTACATCATCGGAATTGCAAACACCCCCCTCCCACCCCTATGGCCCCAGTGGCCGGTGGCGTGGTCCCCTTGGAACCCTTGGTGGTTTACCTATCCTTCACAGGCTGCCTGGTCGGTAGTGGGGGCCTTGGATAGGCCATTGACCTCAGCATCCTGACATCCTGCAGAGGTGGAGTCCCCAGTTGGGAAGACCCGCCTCCCCCACAGGCCCATGAGGAGACGGGAGAAGCCTGCTGGACCACTAGGGGATGTGGTAGCTCCAATGGCACCGGCTTCATCCTCATCATCGCCAGACAAAGCCATCACGGGTCCCCCTCACCCAGTTCCACAAGATGATGCTAAGGCTCATCAGGAACTATTGAAGAGGGTGACCTCCAACCTGGGGCTCCAGGCAGAGGAGCTAGAGGAGGCATCGGACTCCATTTGATGATCTCTGCTCCATGGCACCTGCTAGGGTGGCTTTACCCCTACACGAAGGTGTATCAAAAATTATCAATGCCCTGTGGCAAACCCCCTCCTCCCTGCCCCCCGTTTCAAAAAGGGCTGAATGTAAATACTTTGTGCCAGGCTAAAGGCCATGAGTATCTTTACACCCACCTGGCCCCAAACTCTCTCGTAGTTGAGGCTGTTAATCAAAGGGAGAGGCAGGGGCAACCCGGGCCTACGCCCAAAAATAAAGACGCAAAGAGACTGGATCTGTTTGGATGGGAAATTTATTTGTCTTCCAGCCTTCAGTTGAGAGTGGCCAACCACCAAGCCCTTCTTAGCCACTACGATTACAACATGTGACGAGCCATGGCCAAGCTCAAGGTTTCGCTTCCCAAAGGGTCCAGGAAGGAATTCCGGGCGATCCTTCAGGCAGCTTCAGACGCAGCTCTGCGGCTCGCACCATGGCCTTGGCCATCTCCATGCAGTGGGCATCCTGGCTGCTCCTCTCTGGCCTGTCGACTGAGGCTCAGCAGTCGATGCAGGACCTACCCTTCGACAGCCAGGCCCTGTCTGTGGAGCAGATGGACAGTAAGCTGCATGGGCTAAAAGACTCCTGCACTATCCTAAAAGCTCTAGGATTGTATGTGTCCAGTCTGTAAGCAGTGCAAACCGCAGCCATTCCAGGGCCAAGGGAGCCAACCCTAGCAGGAGCCACCCCACAAAAAGAGCAGGGGCTATAAGCGCTGCCCGAACCACCTGCCTCCACCCTCTGCCCAATCGGGCTCGACCCGTACTAAGCAGGGGGAGCAAGTGGGCATTTTGAGGGTGCACCCAAAGGCACTCTACCAGACTATACCGTGGATCCATGTTTCCCGCCTTTCTGCAACCGCCTTTCTTTTTTCCTCCCGGCATGGACCACCATAATTTCAGACTGTTGGGTCCTCAATACAGTGGCACTGGGTTATACCCTCCAGTTTCTTTCTCCCACCCCCCACCGCTTCCCTTCTCCATCTCTCTTCAGGGACCCCTTTCATGAGAGTCTCCTCACACAGGAGGTAGAAGAGTTGCTACAGCTGGGTGCAGTGGAAGAGGTTCCTCATGAGTACAGGAACAAGGGGTTCTGTTCCAGGTACTTTTTAATCCCAAAGGCCAAGGGCGGTCTACGGCCCATCCTGGACCTGTGAGACCTCAACAAATACCTAAAGAAATTGAAGTTCTGCAGGGTCTCCCTGGCCTCCATTATCCCCTCCCTGGATTCGGGAGTCTGGTATGCCACCCTCAACTTGAAGGACGCATACTTTCATATAGCTATCTTCCAAAGACACAGGCGCTTCCTATGCTTCACGGTGGGATGGGACCACTACCAGTTTGTGGTCCTCCCTTTTGGCCTGGTGACAGCATTAAGGATCTTTATCAAGTATATGTCAGTAGTAGCAGCTTACCTCAGGTTTTGGGGTATCCAGATCTACCAGTACTTCAATGTCTGGCTGGTCAAAGGTCGATCCAGGTCCCAGGTCCAAAGGGATGTTGCGGTGCTGCAGGCCACATGCCAATCCATGGGCTTGCTGGTAAATGACAAAAAGTTGATGTTAGTTCCGGTGCAGAGAATAGAGTTCATCGGAGCGGTGCTTGACCCCATTGGTGGAACTCATCACTAGAGTGTCCGCATTCTCCCGACCACGGCCAGGGTTTGTCTGCGCCTGCTGGGCCACACGGCAGCATGTTTGTATTTCATCCACCATGCCAGGCTCTGAATCAGCCCTTAGAGCAGTGGCTGCTGACAGTCTATTCCCAGTTTGGAGATCACCTGGAAAAGGTCGTTACTTTCCCGCCAATAGTGGAAGGAGTTCCATTCAACAGCCCTTGTCACTCAATCTATCATATTGCACTGCTTACAACTCAAGTTGATATCGGATGCTTCGGACCTAGGCTGGGGTGCGCATCTCGGCGACCTCCAGACCCAGAGCATGTGGTCTCTGGAGGAGATGACATTGCACATAAATGTCAAAGAGCTCAGAGAGGTATGTTTGGCCTGCAGGGTCTTTCTACCGCACCTGGTGGGCAAGCTGGTGAGAGAGTTGACAGACAATGTGGCCTCGATGTTCTACATCAACAGGCAAGGGGGAGCATAGAATCATAGAATATCAGGGTTGGAAGGGACCCCTGAAGGTCATCTAGTCCAACCCCCTGCTCGAAGCAGGACCAATTCCCAGTTAAATCATCCCAGCCAGGGCTTTGTCAAGCCTGACCTTAAAAACCTCTAAGGAAGGAGATTCTACCACCTCCCTAGGTAACGCATTCCAGTGTTTCACCACCCTCTTAGTGAAAAAGTTTTTCCTAATATCCAATCTAAACCTCCCCCACTGCAACTTGAGACCATTACTCCTCGTTCTGTCATCTGCTACCATTGAGAACAGTCTAGAGCCATCCTCTTTGGAACCCCCTTTCAGGTAGTTGAAAGCAGCTATCAAATCCCCCTCATTCTTCTCTTCTGCAGGCTAAACAATCCCAGCTCCCTCAGCCTCTCCTCATAAGTCATGTGTTCTAGACCCCTAATCATTTTTGTTGCCCTTCGCTGGACTCTCTCCAATTTATCCACATCCTTCTTGTAGTGTGGGGCCCAAAACTGGACACAGTACTCCAGATGAGGCCTCACCAATGTCGAATAGAGGGGAACGATCACGTCCCTCGGTCTGCTGGCTATGCCCCTACTTATACATCCCAAAATGCCATTGGCCTTCTTGGCAACAAGGGCACACTGCTGACTCATATCCAGCTTCTCGTCCACTGTCACCCCTAGGTCCTTTTCCGCAGAACTGCTGCCTAGCCATTCGGTCCCTAGTCTGCAGCGGTGCATTGGATTCTTCCATCCTAAGTGCAGGACCCTGCACTTATCCTTATTGAACCTCATCAGATTTCTTTTGGCCCAATCCTCCAATTTGTCTAGGTCCTTCTGTATCCTATCCCTCCCCTCCAGCGTATCTACCACTCCTCCCAGTTTAGTATCATCCGCAAATTTGCTGAGAGTGCAATCCACACCATCCTCCAGATCATTTATGAAGATATTGAACAAAACCGGCCCCAGGACCGACCCTTGGGGCACTCCACTTGATACCGGCTGCCAACTAGACATGGAGCCATTGATCACTACCCATTGAGCCCGACAATCTAGCCAGCTTTCTACCCACCTTATAGTGCATTCATCCAGCCCATACTTCCTTAACTTGCTGACAAGAATACTGTGGGAGACCGTGTCAAAAGCTTTGCTAAAGTGAAGAAACAATACATCCACTGCTTTCCCTTCATCCACAGAACCAGTAATCTCATCATAAAAGGCAATTAGATTAGTCAGGCATGACCTTCCCTTGGTGAATCCATGCTGGCTGTTCCTGATCACTTTCCTCTCATGCAAGTGCTTCAGGATTGATTCTTTGAGGACCTGCTCCATGATTTTTCCAGGGACTGAGGTGAGGCTGACTGGCCTGTAGTTCCCTGGATCCTCCTTCTTCCCTTTTTTAAAGATTGGCACTACATTAGCCTTTTTCCAGTCATCCGGGACTTCCCCGGTTCACCACGAGTTTTCAAAGATATGGCCAATGGCTCTGCAATCACAGCCGCCAATTCCTTCAGCACTCTCGGATGCAACTCGTCCGGCCCCATGGACTTGTGCACGTCCAGCTTTTCTAAATAGTCCCTAACCACCTCTATCTCCACAGAGGGCTGGCCATCTCTTCCCCATTTTGTGATGCCCAGCGCAGCAGTCTGGGAGCTGACCTTGTTAGTGAAAACAGAGGCAAAAAAAGCATTGAGTACATTAGCTTTTTCCACATCCTCTGTCACTAGGTTGCCTCCCTCATTCAGTAAGGGGCCCACACTTTCCTTGGCTTTCTTCTTGTTGCCAACATACCTGAAGAAACCCTTCTTGTTACTCTTGACATCTCTTGCTAGCTGCAGCTCCAGGTGCGATTTGGCCCTCCTGATATCATTCCTACATGCCCGAGCAATATTTTTATACTCTTCCCTGGTCATATGTCCAACCTTCCACTTCTTGTAAGCTTCTTTTTTATGTTTAATGTTTTTATGTTTGTTTGTTTATGTTTTATGTTCATCAGCTCTCTGTCAAGAGGCTCTCCGATTGTGGGATTTCTGCATCGAGCACACAATCCACCTGGAGGCAGATCACCTCAATAGATCCTTTTTCTCTTGCTTCATCTGGAGGTAGCCCAGACACTCTTCCAGAGGTGAGGAACTCCCCAAGGGGACCTGTTCGCCACCAGGCAGAACAGGAAATGCCATCACTTCTGTTCCCTACAGGGTCTGGGCAAGGACTCCCTCTCTGATGCCTTCCTTCTGTCATGGTCGGGGGGCCTGATGTATGTGTCCCTGCCAATTCCGCTCATCAGCAGAGTCCTGTCAAAGATCAAAGATCAAGTCCCAAGTCATCATGATCATCCCAGCGTGGCTGCACCAACATTGGTTCGGCACACTGATGGACCTGATGGTGACCACTCCCTGGCCCTTTCTCGACCAACCGGATCTGCTCTCGCAGGATCACAGGCGTCTCTTACACCCCAACTTCACCTCCCTCCACCTCGCAGCGTTGATGCTGCTTGGCTGAACTCAGAAGAGCGGGCCTGCTCTAACAAAGTCCTGCAAATCCTACTGGAAAGAAGGAAGCCTTCCACTAGAGTAACCTACCTGGCCAAGTGGAGGAGGTTCTCCCACTGGGAGTCTGAGCATAGCATCTCTCCAACACGCTCCTCCTTGTAATCTATTTTAGATTACCTGTTCCATTTTAAGAACCAGGGGCTGGCCCACTCTTCTATCAGAGTATATACCTTGCTGCTATCTCTGCTTTCCACCTGCCGATCCAAGATCAGATGGTGTTCTTGCACGACATGTCGGTCCACTTCCTGAGAGGCCTCGAGAGACACTTCCCATCGGCCTAAGCCCCTGTCCCACAGTGGGACCTTAACTTGGTTCTTTCTAGGCTTACAGGCCTGCCCTTTGAACCTGCTTTCTCTCCCACCTGTCATGGAAGGTCACTTTCCTTGTGGCCATAACATCTGCGAGACGAGTGTCGGAGCTTAAAGCTCTGACATTGGAACAGGCGTTCTTATATGGTGTTCTCCAAGGACAAAGTTCAACTGTGACATCTGGCCTTTCTGCTGAAGGTGGTGTCTTCCTTCCATGTTAATCTGGACATCTTCCTCCTGGTGTTTTGTCCTAAGCTGCACACCACTAGTGAGGAAAGAAAGCTGCACGCTCTGGATGTCAGACATGCCCTGGCGTTTTACTTGGAGCGTACCAAGCCCTACCACAAGTTGAACCAGCTCTTAATCATGACAGCGGACAGGATGAAGGGCCTTCTGGGGTCCTCACAGAGGATCATCTCCTGCATCTGGACCTGTTACAAGCTGGCACAAGTCCCACCACCCGCCGATTGTGAGGGTCCACTCAACCAGAGATCAGGTGTCCTCGATGGCCTTCCTGGTGCACATCCCCATTCAGGACATTTGCAGAGCCACGACGTGGTCTTCAGTTCACACGTTCACAGCGCACTACACCAGCACTCAGCAGGCCAGAGACGACGCTGGGTTCGGCAGAGCTGTGTTGCAATCTACACATCTGTGAACTCCTACCCACCTCTGTTGGCACTACTTGGGAGTCACCTATAATGGAATGGACATCAGCAAGCACTTGAAGAAGAAAAGACAGTTACCTTTTTCCATAACTGGTGTTCTTCAAGATGTGTTGCTCATGTCCATTCCATGACCTGCCCTCCTTCCCCACAGTCTGAGTTTCCAGCAAGAAGGAACTGAGGGTGGGGGGAGCCGGCAGTGCCCCTTATACTGTGGCATGTGCGCGCAGCTCCAGGGGGTGCCAGAGATGGTTCCCTACGAATACCACTGAGGGAAAAGCTTCCAGCACTGGTGCATGTGGTGAGCACACACACACACCTAATATGGAATGGACGTGAGCAACACATCTCAAAGAACACCAGTTACGGAAAAAGGTAACGGTCTTTTCCCAGGCTTGTCTTTTGAAGGTCTTGTGCAGGTTTCTTTTGAGGATGAGGACTGAGGGATCTGATATAGAGTGATATTCAGGTAATGTCTGACAACATAACAGCAATGTTCTACATGAACAAGCAAGGGGTGCAAGATATACCCTCCTTCAGACAGAGGTGGTTCATCTATGGACCTGGTACAGTAATCTGGTGATGAATGCATCAGCAGTAGCTCTCCCGGTGTACACAATACTCTAAGTCAACTGCCTCAGCAGACACTTCTCAGTAGAACATGAGTGGGAGATTCATGACTCAGGAGTAACAGACATATTTGGACAATGGGGAATTGCCATCTTTGGACCTCTTTGCATTACTAGACAATAGAAAGTGTAAAATGTACTGCTCCTTAGGGGCACATAGTCAGGACTCCCAGAGAGATGCCCTTCTAATCCTGTAGGTGGGGAGCTTGAATATGCCTATCTCCCCCCTCCCCAATCCTGCTTTTACCTCAAGTTCACATGAAAATCCAGCAGAAAGAAGCAGTGATCATCCTCATTGCTCTCAAGTGGCCAAGACAGTTTTGGTGTCCCATCCTTTTCCAACTGTCAGCCTGTCCACCTATCAGCATCCAGTCTTTCCCAGACTTCCTGATGCAAGACAAGAGCAGAATCAGGTGTCCTAATCCAGAGTTACCCTATCTCACAACTTGCTGTTTGGATGGGTATCAAACCTAGAATGAAAACGTTCAGTAGATGTTCAAGCTAATCTTAATAACTGCAGGAAAGAATCCACCAGAAGCTAAGTGGCAGAGGTACTCTATTTGAGCTCAATGTCATTAGATGTCGCCAGATGAATTTGGCATCCCTGCTATCTTAGATTATGTCCTAGCCTTGAAAACCTCTGGTCTGTCCCTTAGCTCTCTGCAGGTACATTTTTAGCAGCAATTCATATCTGCCACCCTCCAATTGACGATTACTTCCTCTTCACTCATCTAGTGACTATATGATTTCTGGAAAGTCTCATCAGAACCTTCTCTCCAGTGATTAAACCTGCTCTGACATGGGATCACAACCTGGTCCTTTCAGTGTTAACTAACCCACCATTCGAATCGTTAGCTACATGTTTGCTGTCCCATTTATTGATGAAGGTCATCTGTCTATTGGCCATTACATCAGCCAGAAGGATAGGTGAACTGGGAGCCCTTATGGTCAGTCCATCTTATCTCATATTGATAAGGGTTGTTTGAGACTACACCCTAAATTCATTCTCAGAGTAATGTGGACTGTCACCAAAATCAGACAGTACACATACTTCTATTTTTCCAAAGCCTCATACCATTGATGAGGATAAAAGACTTCATTTCCTGGACGATTGCTGGATGTTAGCATTTACCTTCAGAGAACGAAACTGTTTAGGAAGTCACTGTGGCTATTCAATTCTCTGGCTGACTGGATGAAAGGGCAAGTGATCTATCCTCAGACACCGTCAAAGTGGATTTCAGGCTGTGTCTTGCTATGTTATCAGTTATCTGATACACCTATGCCACAAAGGGTAAGGGCCACTCCACCAGAGCACAGACAGCCTCGGTAGCCTTGCTTCAGGAAGTACCACTTGTTGACATATGTAAAGCAGCCACATGGAGCTCTATTCATACCTTTTTGAGATGCTGTGCCCTGGTGCAAGCCTCTACAATTAATGCATCATTGGAGTCAGCAGTCCTGCAGCCATCAATACTACAGAGATCCTCGAATCCCCTCCTGCTTATCAGTCAACCACAGTGGAATACACCTAGGTATGACTACTCTGCAGCTGAGAGTGAGCCTCCTAGCCCTAGTTAGACAGACTTGTGCAAGCAGGCTTCAGTTTGTGCTCCGCAAATAGCGGTCTGGATGTTCTGGCACCGGTGGAGGCTCAGTCTATGATCTGAACTTGGGTAGTTAGTTTGAGCCTCCACCAGCGCTGTGGTGTGCACACTGCTATTGCTAGTAAGCTAGTTTGATATCTGCTAGTGCAAGTCTGTCTAACCCAGGCTTATAGGTTCACTCCCAGCTGGAGTGTAGGCAAACCCAGAGGCCAACACTTAAAGAAGAAAGAAATGTTACTTACCTGTACAGTGACTGGAGTTCTTTGAGATGTGTGGTTTCTATCTGTATTCCACTACTCACCCTCCTTCCCCTCTGCTTTGGATTGTAACATCCAATTTGCAGTAGAGAAGGAACTGGAGAGGTGACCAGTCCATCCCACCCCTTACAGCCTTCATTCAGAGTCTGAGGCGAAGAAGAGTGCAGGCATGGGCCAATGGACGCTGCTAGAAAGAATCATCCAGTCTCAGGTGTGTGGAATATATGAGCACTCACTGTGGAATACAGATAGGGACCACACATCTCAGAACTCCAGTCACTATACAGGTAAATAACATTTCTTTACACAGTTTTTATCTGTTTAATATATGCCATATGAATTTTGTATTGTTCTAGATTTTTAATCAACATGTCATGCAGTACCTAATCAAATGCCTTTTAGAAGTCCACGTATATTACATCAACACAATTACTTGTATCAACCAAATTTATAATCTCCTTTTAAAAAATCAAGTTAGTTTAATAGGATCTCTTTTGCATAAACCGTTGTTGATTAGCATTAATTTATCGAGTCCCGTGTCAGCTGCTTCATTACCTTGCCTGGGATCAGTGTCAGATTGACAGCCCTATAATTATGTTAGTCATCCTGTTTATCCTTTTTAAATATTGGCACAACATTAGTTTTCTTTCAGTCTTCTTGACAAAGCCCTGGCTGGGATGATTTAATTGGGGATGGGTCCTGCTTTTGAGCAGGGGGTTGGACTAGATGACCTCCTGAGGTCCCTTCCAACCCTGATATTCTATGATTCTATGATTCTGGAACTTCCCCAGTGTTCCAAGGTTTATTGAAAATCAACAAGGTCCTTAGCCTGCTCCTTTAAAACTTCTGGATGCCAATTATATAGCCCTGCTGATTTTAAAAATGTCCTAGTTTAGTAGCTGCTGTTTAGCTGAGTTGATATTGGAATGGAAAGAGTAGTGCTGTCATCATCGTCATATGATATGACTACATTATCTGTTTCCCCCCAAAATACAGAACAGAAATATTAATTCAACACTTCTGCATTTTTTACATTATTGCTGATAATTCTACCATTTCTAGCTAGTAATGAACCAATACCATTGTTGGATTCTTTTTGTTCCTAGTATACTTAAAAACAGTCCTTATTGTCCTTAACTTTGCTAGCCATAGACTTTTTCTTGTGTTCCTAGCATTAGCGTATAGGCAATTAAAGAATTTTCCTTTGTTTGTGAACCGTGGCCACTGGGAGCTGCGGGGGGCCATGCCTGAGGACAGTCAATGTCAGCAAAATGTCTCATGGCCTGCAGTCAAATTACCCTGATGGGCCTCATGTGGCCTGCAGACTGCAGGTTGCCCACCATTGATATAGTACTTTTGTTACAATGCAGTAAAATAGCTAAATGTATAGTCAATTGCTTGATTACACTTACAGTTCATTATTGAGAATATTTAAGAGACCAACTATCAAGGCTGATTTCCCCACTCTGGCACTTTGAGTGCAGAAGGTAGGAGCCCGCAAGGATTACAAAAAATAATACTTGCCACTCCAGGCTTGTATTAAACTCCCAGCTTCTCTCTGACCTTGGATGGGTAGATGCTGCCACCACCCAAATGCAAACCCCTTGGGACCCAGGAAGGTGCCCTTGGGAATTCCCTCCAGTGGGGTACCCTCAAGCCCTTTCACTCCCCGCCCCTCCCCAGGGGAAGAGCTGAGAAAGAAAACAAAGGAAATTAGTTTTTGCCCTGAGCTAATTAAACAACATATGCCCAAACCCTCTTAGGACACCAAAAATCCAATCTTGTTCTTAAAAAAGGTAAATTTTATTAAAAACAAAAAGAAAGAAAATACAACTGGAACTTAGGTTTTTGCTAGATTTTAAAAGAGCAATTCCAAAAATTAAGTACCCAAAATAGCTTTCTTAGGGGTTTAGCTTAAAGGTTACGAGCAAGCAAACAAAAGCATCTGGGGTTAGCACAAAGGAGTCCACAAGCCAATAAGAAATAACCTAATTGTGTCTTTCTAAACATTCCTAATCTATTTACACATCTGGGAGTTCCAAATAAGTAGTTCTAGGTATGATGTGATGATCTATGATCATATCTGGCTTAAAGCTTCTCACAGCATAACTGCTCCCTGTTCCCCTCTTTCCCAGAGAAAAACACCAGAGAGAAAGGGGAAGTTTTTTTCCCCATTTTAAAAAGTTCTAGCCTTCCCATTGGCTCTTTTGGTCAGGTGTCCACTCCCTTTCCTTTACCGGGGAGATTTTTTAACCCTTTACAGGTAAAGCAAGAAGAGAACAGCCACCAGAGGGACTTTATTGCTAACTGGCTAGCTGGCTGTCTATAAAAAGGAGTTAGCCCCCATCCCTTCATTTATTGCACCAACTAACCAAGCTTAGCCAAATTTAGTGTCTGAAAACAAAGCAGTACAATACA